CCCACCCGCCCAGCCTAGGCTCTCTGCCGAGCAGCTCGACGCCTCCTCTACGCCCTCTGCCCCGGGTCGCGGCCTGCACAGCATGTTGACCCGCAGCTCAACGTTACGTCGTTACTTGCGCCCCTGGCGGCCGGCGGCCGTAGGCGCCTCGAGGGCTCACTGTGCCCCACTATCAGAAAGCTCGCCCAGCCCGCAGCCGGCTCTGGCAAATATTGAGTAATTGGCGAGACTAAGCGTTAGGGTGGGTTTTTTTTTCGCGGGAGGGAGAGAGGGTGGGTGGGTGATTTTGCTCCAGTTACAACCGTGATCACGATGCGGATGTGCAGGGACGCGCGCGTCGCGTTGTAAGAGTGGATTCGATACGCGCGGCCGGTCGCTATCTCGGGGCGAGTGCGGGCGCGCACGTGGGTGCGCTGGGTGCGCGGCTCGGGCAGGGCGGCCGGTGGGGCCCTGGTGAAGGCTTTGCTGAGCGCCGCGGCACCTCGGCCAGCAGGGGGACTTACCTGGGGGATAGTTTCGCGGGCGGGCGAGCTGGTGCAGCACGAGGATGGCGGTGAGGAGGGAGATTGCCGAGCCCAGCAGGACGAGGGTGAACATCGCTCCGGGTGGGGCCGACGCGGAGGGGAGACGTGACCAGCCCGGCTGTCGGTGGTGAACTCGAAGGCCCTTGCTCTCCGTTGGCTCCGCTCCGCCGACGCCGACGCTCCGCAGGCCCGCCAGAGGCTCTCTGTGCACTGCGTCGGCTCGGCGCCGGCAAGGCACCGCGGAGGCCCCGCGCTACCGCGGGCCGGGTGGGGCCCCACTACTACTCCGACGCCCCGTACCCGCCCCGCACCAACCCGCGCCCCACCACTCTCGACCACGCACCTCGCCACCGGCCGAGCACACACTCAAACACACACACACACACACACACACACGCAGGACGAGTGCAACTGTGCCGCAGGGAATGCATGCAAATATGGTTTATGGAGAGGTAGACCGAAAGGGTGAATCCCTAAAACCAGGGGGAAAAGGGGGGGGGGGGCTGGTGGGTGGGTAACCAAGAATATTTCTTTTTCCATTTATTCTCTTATTTTCCATAAATTACCTCTGTCTAGAGTTCTTCAAAACACCAAGTTGCCACGTGCCACCGCACAATAGGAAGAGACTATTTTACTCCGTGGAAAACACAAATTCTCAAGAATATTCCAGATGGACATTTCGACAGCCAAGACCGATTTTCGTACCACGATAAACAATTTTTATTTCCCTTCAGAATATCTGGACATCCGAACAGGTTCGTACAAAGGGGGAACAACGGCGGTCTGGGTCCGGGACACTTCCCAATCCGCCTGTAAGTAGGCAAACAGCCCGTCATGACCCTCTCCACTAAATAAATGAATCCGAGGCCAAGTAAGCTAATGAAAATTGAGATTTGAAAATATTGACCCTTGTCCGATCAAATCAGACCGGCTCCGGTTCCTCAAGTTCTCTTACGAAAAAACAAAAACTAAAAATTAAAACACACACACGCACACACACTGCACACACATACACCACGAACCATGACCACCCTCTAAACTTTTGAAATGGCGAGTTGATTGCGCTACAAATGATTCGCCTCATCGTTGGCCTAAAATGAATAAACTGTCTTGTCTGTGAAAGCACTAGCCATTTTCTAGTTTAATTGTTTGGGCCGGGATAGTTATTCCAAATATCATCCACGTTTGCATTCACAGTTGTCAGCGGGACAGAGAGAGAGGGGGGGGGGGGTCATGTTGAACCAACCAAACCTAACCTAAAATTTCTTGAAGCAGAAGCGCTGAGGCAGTGGCTGGGCATAACAGACTTCACCATAAATGTGATTGTGTAAAGTACGTGAGAAATTTGACGTTCTGATAAAAATGCCGTATGAAATTTATGGACTTGCCACCAGGTACTATGGCAAATCATTATGGGAAATTTTAGGAAATTTGAGGAACCATGGGGTGGGTAGAATTATCTCTAAGAACGAATATAAACTAGATTTCCCTGAACCTAGCTGGTACAGAATTTTGAAAGTGGAAGCCCTATCTCCAGAGGTAAGTAAATTTCATTCGGAATTTTTGTTAAGACTTTTTATACTATAATTCCAATTTGGAAGAGTAAGCTAATGGCCTTAAATTATGAACCTTAGTTTAGTTTGTCAACAATGTTGAGCAATTACAGTGTATTGTGTGTTCGATTCAATTTAAAAATCAAATCGATTCTCTCTTTTAGGGTAGGATTCAAGTTCTGCCGCCTGTTGTTGACATGGGTGAAGTGCGTCGAGTTCGAGCTCTAGTAGATGTTGTGATTGGGGGAACATATCGTGGCCAAAAATGGCTTAGCGAAGAGACATATATACCGGACTATAGTCTTATTCCTAAAGAAGAAGAAGAGGTCTTCACTAAGGTTAAAAAAGGCGAGCTTCCTCCCAAATTTGTAGACCCCAACATATATCCAACGGCTACTTCTTTTCCGCCTCTTTTAAAGGTAAGGTCTCCTATCTTTCATATAGAATTTTAAGATAACTGTAATTTTTTTGAAATGGATTTTTCAGGAACTTGTCATTCGAGATATGAAAGCCAAAGGCACATACACTGGAGTAGAACCTTTGCTACCCCTCAAGTACCAGAAGCTAAGTGAAGGGAGAGAGAGACACATTAAAGGCTTATTGGCTGTTGACGGAAGCCAATGGATGGTGGATCCAGTCAGAGTTGCACAAGAAGGTGAAACTCCCACAGTTGATATGAGTCCTGGACTAGGAAAAACAATTAGCCCAAGATTATATGCAAACATTAAAAAAACTTAAAAGTGTTGGTATTTTCTTTCTTTCATGTGCTAATTATAAATGTAAAATTTCACTTTACGCCTGTCTTTCTAAGTTAATAAGGCTTTACAAGACATCTTACCATTTTTTTCCATTACTGGGGTATAGTTTTCTTCAAGCATGAGAACTGATTAACCATAACTATACATATAAATAGGATGTTATAGTGATTTGTCTTTGCTATGTGGAGGTGTCATCTTAAACAATGAACATGTAAAAGATGCGATTCATTAAAACAGCAACAAACTATGTGAATTTGTTTTAATTTTATATCTTTTTAACTATTGCTTCCAAAGAAACATTAATAAGACACATTAAAATAACTATGTAACAGTCATGTTCTGGTCAAGCATTAACATTACAAAATTGGCTCAAAAAATTACAAAAATTTGAAAAAGTAAAAATTCTTAAGTTAAAACATAATGTAAGGTTACACTACATTAACAGAAAAGGAGATGACAGAGACATGAAGATCACAACGTCTGTAGCAAAGTACTCCTTGCATTTTGAAGTCAAATTAAATTTAATTGGCACATTCTAGATACAAAACACTTTACCCGCATCACATTAATATGTCTCCTTTGACTTAGACTCAAATATTCTGCACAAATAAATGTGTAAAATATTTCAAAACTCACTTAATGCTCTAAGAATCCAGAAGTATGTAATAATTAAGAAAATAAATCTTGTTTGCTGGTGAATGATTGGCAATAAAAATAATCATCAAGACATAAATTTTAGGTAGGAATATTTCTTGATAGATTGCTACCTGGTATGTAAATACATACTACTATATTGTTAACAAACAAGTGATTAACTTAGTTTTGGACATGACAGAAAGGAGAGCACAAGCCCTAACAATAACAATTTTTTTTTTTGCGTCACTCGGTCATTACTGACAAAAAAACAAACAAAAAGAAAACAAAGAAACATCTTGTTACAAAAATCACAAATGACAGTATCTGGTTTAACGCCTTCCCTTCTCAAAAGCTTGATGAGTATCATGTCCTAGAATGAAAAGAAATTTTGCCCCATTAAGTTTCTTAGTATAACAGCATGATCAAAGAATTTTCAGAAAGCCTTCACCAACTCACGTTTGTAAAATATGGCCGGAAAGTCAACATCAGGAAGAAGTCTGTGCACTCGTGGGATGACAGTAGCCTTGTCACTAAGATCAGCATTTATATTCCAGATCTGTTGGACATATTTATTTATTTATTTTTGAATTTTTATAAAAAGCACCATTCTGCTTTTCTTGTAAGATATGTATTAACTTTACAGTAGAATTTTACCTGCACTAAATCTTCACGTTCTCGAATGGACACAGTGACACCACAAATTTCATCACCATCAGCAATAGCATCAGAAAATTGTTCACCAATTGCGGCCACAAGCATTTCTCTCCACACCTTTGTCTAAAAAATTAAAACCAAATAAAAAAATTAAACAATAGATACTGGAGCAATAAATATTCGAGATACTGACTCGGACAGGGAATGCTGAATAATAATAATAAAACATAGGCTTACTGTGTCTCTTTTCTGACACTTGATTCTCCATGTTCCTCCGTATCGATTATAGGGTTCTTCCCAGAGAGGCTTATGAACTTCTCGCATTAAATGATAGCTAGCTCGTACCTTAAAAATTTGTTGCAAAAGGAGGACATGTAAAACTGTGCGAATTGTACTACAGTACTTTTATAGAAAAATTCCAACTTACATTGATTTCATTAGCTGCTGGAATATTATTGAACACAGCCCAAAATCCTTGAGCTGTTCGGACAGTATAAATTTTCTTCAAGTTGGCTTGAAATTCATCAGCAGAACTGCCATGGACACATCTAAAGAAAATTATATACTTTTAATAGCAATGTCATTCAGAGGTACATTACTGATCTATAATTTTCATTGCATGAAGTGCATGATAAAAATTAGTCAGGGAAATCGGTAAAGTCAAAGCGATTGTATGTTTTAATATTCAATGTCATTAGATGTCAATGATATGCAAGCAATATGTTATTTTAACTTCAAAAAAACACTTTGACAGAAGGGTAAACACTACTCCTACAAAATACTACAATGTCTGAGATAAACAACACTGAGGGTCAGAGGTCACAACTGATTACCTAAGAGGGTGTTTGATTCTCACCTGTCCAACCAAAATGTCCAAGGAGTTTGCAAGGGGACGCCATCACTCTCTTGATTTTCCATCTTATTAATCGCTGCTGATGAAAACACGGGCGATTTTGAAAAATCGCATGAAGAATCAACAGGATCAGTCATGGTAGCGGCCATTTTCAACTCTCACACATCTACAACAACATCCACACGCAGCACCGACAGCAGTAGGCTTTTGCCGTCGTCTCCCAGCTGACAACAGACAAAACAACAGAAAACAAAAGAATGCAGTGTTTACATCCGCGAGGGGGTGGGGGTTGAGCTGAGAGGCTACAAGAATTTGTGACGTGACGTGACGTGAATGAAATGAAATTAAACCAAAATTTGTAATTTACAGAAAACGTAGTGTCCGTGAGATGTGTGTGTTTTCAACCGTATCTAAAACAGTGTGATCTTGATTTTGTGTCTCCTAAACATGAGTATGCCTCCTCTGCCTGTTACTTCAAACTCTCAAGAGTTAGGAGATAGTGGACAATCTAATGTTCTAGGCAAAAGACTAAACAAAATTTTTGAAACTCGCCTGGATACTGATAAGGTTGCCCCCTAGTACAATTCGTGTAGTAACAAATTGGATACTATGACCTGGAATAACATCTACGAATGTTGCCTTTCAGGAAACATTAGAGGCGCTCAAGGAGTTGTCAACATTTTTCACAGAGAATTCAATTCAATCCCGAAGAAATTTAAGAAGCAAAATAGAAAAACGAAGTCTTGCAATTAACGAGGTTTAAATTGCACTCTTTTACTATCTGACATACAACTGTAAATTATAAAAGAAACACTAGTCACGACAGTTGCTTTTCTTTTTACAGGAGTTTTTGTCAGCTTTTACGAAGGTAAAAGATGCTCTAGATACTGTGTATAATGATGTTGTCTCCATAGACTCTGAAGTGCGTGGTATGAGTATGCATTTGCAAGCAACACGGGCTCAAACATATCAGTTAATTGAGCATACTACCCAACTACAAGCTCAAAGGTTAGATTACCACTTTGCATAGGATATTTTGCGTTCCTAAAGTATGCTTTTGGTGTATTCTAATGTTCTTTGTAATCTTATTAATTCTAGAAAGAAACTAAGCATGGAGCAAGAAGTGGCCAGTGCTTTCCTGGAGCGGTACCAATTATCCCCTGCCGAGCTGACAGTTTTGCATGGTTCTACAAGAGATTCTCCTATAACGCCAGTATTTTTCACTGCTCTCCAGCGTGCTCAAACAATACATTCTGACTGTCGTGTTCTAATGCAATCTGGTTTCCAAACTGTGGCACTTGACATAATGGAGCAGATGTCTTTACACCAGGTAAATGTCTTCGGTAATTATTTAATTGCCTTTTAAACACGTGGGAGGGTTAAACTCTTATTTGATCACAAATAGTACATTGGATTGCAACAAGTGCTGTCTCATCCCATTGTTGTAATTAATAGCCTCACTAATTTTTTGGTGTATCTTTCTGTTAATAAGGAAGCAGCACTTGAGCGTCTGTATCGTTGGACTCAAAGTCATTGCCGTAGCGTGGAGTCAACAGAAACAGCTGCACTTTTGACTGAGGCTATGTCCTGCTTACAGGATAGGCCAGTCTTGTTTAAGTAAGTCCATTCTTCTTAAGTAATACAAATTCAAAATTATATTTGTAATGGATATTTCCCCTCACATTTCCCTTTTTTTAAAAGTCAAAATGATGGAAATTTCCATCACTGTTATGGCATATTGACACTGTAATCTAGTATGGTCTTTGTTTGTTATATTTTTATACATGATTATGCCACTTTTGCCTGCGACTCAAAATTTTCAGGAGTCTAGGGGTAGATGACAAGTTAATGTTCTTTGCAAAAGACCACGTTAACAACTTTTAAATTCTGTGATGGACAAAGAATGTTATTTAGTGATCAATTTGGTGTGTTTATTTTAGATATGTTCTTGATGAGTATGGAAGTTGTAGAAGAGCAGCATTAGTTCGTGCATTCATAGATGCCTTGACTAAAGGTGGAGGTACACTCAAGCCTATAGAGATGCATGCCAACGATCCAAAACGGTATGTTGGAGATATGCTGGCATGGTTACATCAAGTAATACCTTCAGAAAAGGAAAGTTTAAACACACTGATGAGTTTGTGTTCAAAGATTGGTATGTATCTCTTCAATCTCTTTCTATTTTATACACTCTTCTCTAATTGTTCTAAATCAATTTTTTGCCTATTTCGTTTTTACAGATGTTTCAGACCACATTCAGCAAATCCTTGCCAGTATTACAGAGGGTGTTTGTCATCCCTTGAAAGTACGTGTTGATCGTATTCTCAGTACTGATGCTACTACAACTATTCTGTATTCTGTGGCAAGTCTTCTTGGATATTACCATCAGATATTTAGTCAAGTAAGCAAAATATTAAATAGTTACTATTTTGATTATATTTATTTTTAGTCAGTTAGATTCCACTAAGAGCATTACCTTTCCAGGTTGTGCCAGAGAGTATGCTTCTAGGTACCTTAGCAGAAGTAAGGATTTTAGCTCAAAATCGCTTTTTGAGCGCTTTGCAAGGTCGTGTTAAACAGCATTTGGCAGACCGACTTGATACTCCGCCACCTGATCTTTCTCCTTCTACTAGTGTATCTGCTCTCATGTCATTATTGAAAGAAGTGCTTTCTGTCGCTGGAGTTGCTGATGGGCGTCCAGAAGATATTACTAAGGTACTTATTTGACTAAAAAGAAATCAAAAAAATTCTAATAATGCGTTTTGTTTAAGTGGACGCAATTATGCCAGTATGGTTGAGTTTCAGTTTCACTCCCCTGTTTCTTCCAGATGGTTGGTGTTGTCCTTGACCCTTTGCTTCAAGCTGTAAACCTGAGTGCTGCTCGCTTACCTACAACAGATATGGCTGTATATCTATTAAACTGTTTATACCAGATGCAAACAACTCTATCTCTTTATGGCTTCATGGATAATAGACTGGAGAGATTGCAGGTACAAAAGTTACTCCATTCTAGAGTTTTGTAACAAGTGTTAATGTTATTTTCCTGGTTTCCGATTATTTTGAAAGCTATTGTAAAGTACTATTGTTTTCCTAGCTTCCAATCATCTAAAAAAATAATTTGATTTTTGGATTGCTAAATGTTACACTTTATTTTTAGGCACAATCTGATGCTCAGCTTGACACATTGACATCAGAGCAAGCAAGCTCATTAGTGGCCAATTTAAATTTGGGACCAATTTATACCATTTTGCAAGAAACAAGCAGAGGCCCCCTTGCCAATGTCCCTGGTATGGATGCTGCAAGCCTCAAACATTTTTTGGTAAGCTGGGATGTGATATATTAGTTGTTGTTATTATATATCTAGACAGTTCTCTTGAGTATTTTCCCAACACTCGATAACAAACATGTATGTCCTTCTCCAGGTTAAACTTGATGGTTTCTTAGCTCTGCCGGATATCTTACTCCTTCCTCAAATTTCTTTATTATTAAGTACAATTCATCGCAACAATGTGAAACAAAGAGCCTTTGAAGTTATTTGTACCGTCTATAAACAACTCTTCGCAGCTGTTCATGATCCTGTCAATGGATACCAGAATCCCTCTTCCTTGATTTCGCGTACTCCTGAGCAAGTGCAAGAGTTGCTTTTGGGCAATGGGTCATAGATGTTTGATAACAAAAGTTTTGAAAATAAAAGTAGTATGTGAGACATATTCATTTTATTTACAAAGGACAAGTATATTATTCAATATACATAATGATACAATTTATAATATTTCCACACTTCTATTTTATTGTTCAGTCTTGCAACCTTTCTCCATTAACTCAGGCATGAATTTATACATGCATTTACAGTACATCAATCATACTTAAACCATTTTCACACAAACACACATTCTCCCTTTCAAACTGACTTTATGAATGAGACAAATGAGAACCTGAAAACCAATATTTAAGCAAATTGCCATAACAGAGTTTCAATTACACAGATAGGTAGGTACATGTCTTGAATTAAAAAAAACAAAACAAAAAAAAAAACAATTTTGTCATAAAAAAATCCCATATGAGCACTTTCCAAATTAGATCAACATTTCTCAGTTTGTAAAAGATTTACCAATAAGAATTTCCACATCAAATAACTGGCATGTTGCAGATGTAAAACTAATGGAGAAGAGGGAATACAACCTCAGTTGTAAGGATTAATATCCAAATCCTCATTTCTATTGCATAAAGATGGAAAATTGAAACAAAAATAAAAGTAAATAGGTAGGTAAAACCTAATGTAACAAAAATCATTTTCACTTTGTGTTGGTTGAATAAATTCAATGGCAAGGTCAACCCTTTTACAAACTGACTTCATTGGTTTTACAAGCAACAGTTAAAAAAGCAGATTGCATAAAATCCTACAACATAAGTAACGGATGAAACAGGATTTCAGTCATTATGAAAAACAGTAATTTAATTTCTCTTATAATTTTAGCAGCATCACTTGCAATAAATTTGCAGACAATAGTTTCTTATTTTCTTCTGACAAAAGTTGTTAAAAGATTCATTCCAAATTTGAGTTCCAGCATCTTCCTATTCAATTCAAAGAAGATCAATCACCTCAGAATAAATACAACATTTTTTAAAGACACTATGTAAGTGGATAAAAACCAACTACAAAGAGACAACTATTCTTTTATTTTTTTTTATACGACTAGTTCATTTGGTTTATTTTTACGGAGATTATGGCTCAATCATCATTCTTTCTTTACTTCATTCTCACAAAATCGAAGTTTAGTTCTCTGTTCAGTTTGTACACAAAGATGTACTAATAACAATACAGACATCAAGATAAAAGTATGAGGAGTTTAAGTAGACCCCTACACATTTTTTTTTCCTTTCAGAAATGTAAAAACTTTGTATTTCATGGAGTCGGGAGGAATAACACTGTGTACAAGTCTATAATCACTGAATTCATATTAGAGATATAAACTGTGATTCAGATTTTAAAATTTTAAATTCCTTGCTTTAAAGTGTTGGGAAAGAGATAAACTGGGTTTAAGCAAAATATTAAAACGAGAAAAATGCTGAATACAACACAAGTACAGGATCGAAGTGCAGATAAGTGAAAAGCCCCAGTGTAAGAGTTCAATCTTAGCCTTTAGACGGGGGAAAGCAAATATAACAAACTGAAGGAACATTTTAATAATGCTCCATTCAATAACAATTATAATTCATAGCATCTAAAAAAAAAAATCAATAAAAACAATTTAACCATGAATTGGAGATTTCCCTGATTTAGGAAATAACAACAGCTTCTTTCTATTGAACAACATTAGCATCAATTTCTTCCACCTTTTACAGTAAATAATCTACTATAAGGTCCAAAGAACTGCAAATTTGGTCTCGTCATAAATCGAGAGTTCAATTTTCATTTAGTATTTCTATATCAGAACACTGACCATTCTTGGCTGTTATGCTCTGATACATACTAAATTCAGTAAAACCAGTACAACAGCATAAATTAAAAAATTAGCATAAACAAGAAAATGACGGAGGACTAAAAGGACAAAGATATACCTTTTGGCCTGATTGCAAACAGCATGAAAACCATTCACTTAAGCCATTTCCTCAATCAATCAATAACAGGTACAAGTCTATATCGTAATAAAAATTATAACAAGGATGAGCAATATCAGGTTCTGAACTTCTTTGCACACCAAACATGTAAGTTCATTTATATAAAGTGAATAACATGCACACATAACATACATCTAGGTCTCATTCTCTCTTATGCACATATACACAATCTCACAGGCAAACACACACACTTATGATTTACAAAAAATATATACATTGCTACACACAAAATGTATTAACAATTCTTAGACCTGATTTTGTCTTAGCAACAGAAGATTGGATGAATAGGAATTCAATTTTATACTTTTCAAAATCAAAGTTAGCAAGAAGCAGTTCATTGGCTGTGAGCAGTACACGATGGTGAAGTTCAGGTATGAAGAATTCAAATGAAATGTTTTTGGTTTTAAGTCAGTTGCATTTCAGAGTTCGGGAAGATAAGGGTACACTCTCACAAGAATTTTTTCTTGGCACGTATTACCTACATTATATAGATTAACCTGAGGTTAATCAATGAGTGACCCTGTATGGTGCTACTTTCCTGAATTCTTTTTCTTTCCAAGTAAAGTTAGATGTGTGAATCAGGTGAATTTTAAAGAAGCCTATTTTAGTCACACCTCTGTTTAACTGTTTAAAAAAGTTCCAGAAATTAAAAAGAAACAAAGAAACAAGCAGACAGTCCAACAAAATATTCCTCAAGGAAAACTTCATTACCCACTTTTCAGTCTTGATTCAGTCTGCCAAATAACGGGCATAATCTTTTCCTGTATAACAGATACCAAGCGTCTCAAACTGAGATGGCAAGCAAATTTTCAGGGTTTTCAGAATTTACAACTTATTGACTGCAGAGAGTGATTTAAAAAAGACTGTTAGGGGAGGAATACAACATAAATCAAAAACTTTCTAGCATTAAATAGAGTGAAAAAGCCCTCTTTAACAAAGTATGTGGTTTACAATGGTACTTTGATATAGTAGACATTGTTTCTCACCCCATAGTCTAAACAGAATGATCTTTTACATGCGAAATATTGTTCATGGAGGATTTTACCAATGTCCAGATCAGCCACTACTCTAATGGATTTTCAAACAGCCAGTAGCACAGGCACAAATGTTGAGCTCCCACTGCTTTTATCCAAAAAAAGAATAAATGCGTAGTGTTGGTCCCAATCAAATCAGAGCAGTAAGATCAGATACAAGTATCACCCTTATCCATATTTTTGTAACATTCTAAAGGTTTTCAGTTTAAAACCAAAAAACAACAAACCAAATAACAGAAATAATTCAGACATCAATTAGACCAAAGAATTGACTACGCACAAAAAAAATAAAAAGCATCAGAGAGCTCAACAAATGTTCCAACATGCACTTTTGACTTAACAACACTAATTTGTAATTGACAACCCATACTTTACAATTAATTTATAACATCCACAAAAAAAAACCCACAATACTTCAATAACACAGGCTCAGAGTAGTTTAGATCTTAATGACAGACCGAATTAGAAAAAAAGCCGTCATGCAATATTTGACCTGTTTGCTTCAGCACACATAATGTGTTGGCTGCAGTACTGTTCACACATACTTGGTCGATGCTTGCAGAGACCACTAATAACACAATGCCCAAAGACAAGTTGCCTGCATGGGCAATCTGCGGGAACAGTATGTGTGGTCACGCTCGCTAAATTCAAAACATTAATTCAAAGATTTCTCATACACTACTACTTTGAAAATCAATCCAAATTCATTACAGCTGTTGTGCTCTGGTGCAGACAATCAATTGATAAATAGTATGGTAGCGGAATAACCAGACAACATCACTTAAAATCTTAATCCACAACATCTTTTTTACAATAAAAAATATATATACAGACAAATATACATTTATACATGTAATAGGCACTAACAAATAGGTAGGTATATAGGTACACATACAGTTGACAGATAGACATTTTCATGTACAGTTAAAATTTATACAAATTTATGGGTATTTTGTGAGCAATATCATGCAAAGATGATAGGCCTGCTCTTCAAAGAAAAGAAGTCAGGAATATGAAGGATAATTTAAATATGCAACAGCTTTGGAAATAACCTAAAATAATTAACTAAATTTTTTAAAAAGGATTATTTACATTGGTGCAAAGTTTTCCTGGGTGTACGGCAAGGAGATATTTGATCTTTCTTAAAAGAACATGAAAACAGTTAAGTATTTACACTCCCTAAATTTTGAGTGTGTTGAATTGTTGTTTGGTGCAGTTCCTGAAACCTTCTCTCTTGTTTTTGGTGCTCTTCCTAGACACAGAGAAACAAAACAGATTAAAACATAAAGTTTTAAAAGGCATAAAGGCTACGATAATAGAATCTTTCCTTACTTTAACTTTGTTTAGTTCTTTTTTCATCACTTTCAGGCCGGGATAACTTTGTGGAATATTATCCAGCATTTGTTGCTGATGCGACATTGCTTGCTGTTGAGCTTCCAGGCTATCGCCAAGTTGGTATTGTTGCTGAAGGAGGTCACTGTTAACGGGGTTGTCCTGTGTGTCCAGACTACCTAGACACCCCTAGAAAAGTAAAAATTTTATTCATTAGCAAGAGATATGAAATGGTATGGAGTGAAGTAAGGGCAATCCTTAAGAGGTATTTATTTTGATAAGATTGATTAAGAATAGAGAATTACAAGCTATAAACAAAATAATTATATACTTGAACAACTCTTACCTCAGGTAATATTGAAATTGTGTCTGGAAAATCTGGAAAGAAAAAGAAAGAGTATGGAATATCCATTTTAAATACTACAACACAAATAAATCAGTGCAACAAAATGGGGGAGGGGTAGAAATATATTGTACATTTGCTGCTATCTGTTGCACTTACCTTGTTCCGGAAACAGATTATTGGTCAAACTTTCCGTCGGAAATGCCTGGGCCGGCGCAGTCTGGTCGATGGTATCTGGCCGGCCCAAGATTCCGTTTGGGAAAATCTGGTCAAGTCCATGAATGGGGCTCTGGACCTGGTTGAGCACGGCAAGATGCCCACCAGGTGAGGCGAGGACACCGTCGGGGATAACGCTACTTCCGGCGAGGTGATGAAGGTCATGGCCTGAAAGCAGCGTTAAAAAATTCTCATTTTTTGAGACAACATTGTAAAAGTAAGTATAGACGATAAATCTAGGCTGGTTTGCGTACCGCTCGGCAGGGCGCTGAAGCCTTCGCTGGCGCATGGTACAGAGGGCCCAGACACTCCAGGACTACTGGGGCAGACTCGCTTATTAAAGCTTCGGCTGTCGCCTTCCGTAATCCTTTTTCGTCCTCGCCGAACATCACCACCAGCCATCTGGAGGACACTTGCCCTTCCATGATGCTAAAATGTAGAAATAAAATTAATATTTAGAATCTTCAATATGTTCCTAAATTTTTAAGCGCTTTAGTGTTTACTTACATCTGTGGTAGAGCTCCGAACAACCTCCTGCTTTGAAGTATCAGCACCTTCGTCCTGGAAGAAGAAAGTACTTATTGAAAATTATATCTGTTATTCCCTCACTCTTCTTAGCCACAGAACACATGTAAATTTGGTCATATTTTGAGCCCGTTAAATAATTGTTTTTTGGTACCATAAAACAGGCTAATATGGACCAACCTCTTATTCCTACGTTCTGCTTCTGCTTGAGTTGCGCGACCACTGAGCTGTCGCGCAACATTGTCAGGTTCAGAAACACAACTAAGTGGTAGTACAAGTCGAGCAGAAGCGGAACATAGAAAAAAGAGGGTGTCTTCTTTACCCCGCATAGTCCATATTAGCCTGTTTTACGGAAATATCCCTTTAATTATCATTGGGTAATTATTTAACATTTTTCAGTCATTTTTTGCCCTCTGTTATCATTATACCATCATCTTAACCAACATGTCAGATCATACAAATATATTTTAGTGGTTTTTGTCGATCATCTATAAATTATTACGAGTCATACTTAATCGTGTTCTGTTTGTTTTGCATGGAACAGATGATCTTAAAAACAATAAATCATGCTTTACGTTTCCCATGCTGTTTACACCAAACACATCATTATGCATTGTAGAAACATACCAGTTCGGTGATTGTTGCTCGACTTCTTCCAGCCAACTGCGCTAAGAGATGAGGTTCAAACTTCCTCCTCAAGGCACTAATTTCAGCATTATACTCATTGGCATCGATCAATGAGTTGACGCATGTAAACGTCAGTAGTTGTTTCGCTTCCTCGGAAGAATTTTGGGCATCTTTTATGGCTTCCATGGCTTCCAGGAAGCCTTGTGTTCTCAGGTGAACAAACCCACCAGCTGCTGTGCGTAGCCTGTATACGCTTCCACCATTCAGCCTATTTTCGATCACTGTTAACACATGATAATGTTAAAATGCGTCTCTCATAGGTGAAATACAATGAATATATAGATTTAATTATATTACACGTGTGCATAAAGAGAAATTTAATACAACAATTTACTTACTGAACTGCAGTGCAATATCTGCAATCTTTCTGTCGTCTGGCGCCATGTACTCGAAAGCATTCTTCCCAATGACTTCCGATGGTAGCCAGCCGCTGATAAAAGCGATGCTAAAAGACAGAACGTAAAAAAAAAGCCACAAAAAAACGTGTTTATTTGTGTGAGTGAAAAACTTTGATAACTTGAAGATTTACTTTGAAGGTACCAACCGTTCGTCAGTGTGCATGATCAGACCATTGCAATCATGTCGAGTACGATATTCGTACTTGTTTAAGGGCCGCGAATAGAAAGGTGTTATTTGAGCAACCGGCTCAACTATGCTGGCCAGAAAGCAAAACACAACATCCTCATCAGGGCCGTTGTCTGGAAAAAGAAAGAAAAATATTACACTTTTAGATTTCAAATACAAGCAGATAATCTCCTCCATCTTCCACAAAGAATTGCTTGCCGAGCTCACCGGTGCTTTTCCTCCGGTGGCCGCGCGAACGCTGCGAGGCCGCGGCCGCGAGCCCGGCCACAGTGAGCTTGGCCGGCACCTCGATGAAGCCCTTCAAGTCCATGCTGATGAAGTGAGGGCTGTCGCTACGCGACACGGGCTTCTGCTGCATCCGGATCCTTAGGTTCCTCATCTGCCGCTCCGACTTGAGGCGCGGCACGTCCACCTCAGAGGGCGTGGGTGGCGGGCTGCTCTGGCCCGACGACATGCTCGTCGAGGTTCCCGTGTCGTCCGAGCTGGAGTCGTCCAGGCCAATGGAGAGCAGCGCTGGAATAGTGATGGGGAGTTAGTCGAGTCAACAGAGAGCAGCAGGGGGGAAAGCAAACCAGAAACGACCAAGCGGTGCTGCGAAGCTTACTTCTTTGAGGGTCGCCGTCCGGCTTCAGGGCGCTCGTGAACGCCTCCACGTCATCCTTGTGGATGAGCTTCTTCATGTCCTGCCCGAAGAGCTCGACCTGCCAAACACACAAAACAGAGTCGCCTACCATCAGCACTGGAAGAATGCGAAGTTGGTCGAAACACAGCAGGACGAGAGTCGTCCCGTCCGGTCTAATCCGGGGTCGTTTTGAATTGTGCTTCATCTCGATGATGACCGCCTCGGGGCCCGCCCACGGCCCCCGCTCTCGGCCCCCACCCTCGCCCAACGGCCCCCGCCTACGCACGTGCACGCGGAGGCGGCGCGGAGGGGCCTACCCCCATGGAGGCTCTCTCGACGCTGCACCCCCCGCGGACGCGGCCCCGGCGGCCCCGGCGGCCCCGTCCTCGGCTCCCCGCAGCGACGAGTCAAGGGGATTCAGATGAGAGGGAGCGCCGCCCCCGGTCCGACCGTCCCCGTGCCGGGCCATCGCCCCCGTGCCGCCACTGTAAAAACTACCGCGCACGAGTAGGGTTTGCTTACAGTCCCTCCCGTATTTTTCTATGAGCGGTCCGCAGACCGTGAAAGGGATGCACCCTTCTACTCTTGCAGTTGCCCGTACTTTATGGTGTACGGTAAGTAGTGCTGTTCCTAACTATATGGAATTCAATCAACAACACGCACGGTTCCGAATGTAATCGAATACTCAAGGAGAGGCATTTACTGCAGGTTTTGCTATGCAGGCCAGGCCGTGCGGGTGCTCTGGTGCTTACCTGTGTGTGGCCGAGGTGTTGCTCGCACTTGGACACGTACACAATCTTCGCCGCGGCGTTCACGACGAAGAACAAGGCGTTCAGCTCCTGAGAACACAAGCAGACAACGCAAATGATGGCATGTTACTTGATTCCGACGAAAGGGACCGCCCAGAAAGTACGTCTCTCAGATTCATTCGGCGAATATACGGGAGCTCGGCGCCTGCGAGACTCAGGGCAGGCCACCCCGCAGTACACACATGCACTACAGGCCGAGATGTTGCCTACCCACCAGGCGCTACGAGAGATTGCGCCGGATGAACTTGGCAGACTTGGCATTAAGGTTCGTTCGCAACGACGAATGACGGACGTGCTTTCTGGGTGACCCCTAACTTCCCCGTCTGTGACGCGCTCCCGCGTTGGCGTTGCGTCGCGACTCACCTCGCAGATCATGTTCTCCAGCGGCTCCCCGATCTCGGCGGGCACGTCGGCGCCATGCGCGAGGTACACTTGTTCGGACGTCTTGTACATGCGGACCTGGTTGGCGCCCACCCGGAGGATGGTGATCTTGTCCGCCTTCTTGCCGTAGCCCTTGAGTATGGGGAGGTAGGTGACCAGCTGGTTGATGAAGTTGGACACCCGGTCCCGCCGGGCCTTCTCGGACTTGTTGCGCGCTTCGCGGCAAGACCTGGAAACAGCGGAAAAGAAGAGCACATCAGAGAGTGTCAACAACGCGCACAACGAAAACGGAGTAATAGTTTCCAAACGCTTCAGTGTCCTACAGCAAAGCGTCGCCGGCTATGGTCGTCATGTTATCATCATCATATATGCGTCCTGCTTTGAGACGCCAAGTTTTGCTCGGCGCGCTCTACGAAAGTGGGACACACTGACCAGGCCAATCCAAGGGCGGCGCGGCGCGGCGGCACAGACACTCCATGTGGGACACGCCCCGGATGCAGCTGATCCAGTAAGTGCAGCTGCAGAGGGGGGAAGAGTGCGCGAGGGAGGGGGAAAGGGGAAGTAGGGG